CCATACTGGAGGGCCTGGATTCGAGTCTCCTTTGTGCTTCCAATCCAGCTTCCTGCTGAAGTACATCCTGGGAAGTAGCAGGTGTCAGCCAATGTAGTGAGAGACCCAGATGCAGTTCCAGGCTCTTGGCTTCATCCTGACTCAGCCTTGGCTGTAGTGGGCTTTTTGGGAGTGAACCAGAAGACAAAAGATAACATGCTCTCTCTCTATGTGTCATTCTGCCTTTAAAACAAATAAAAATTAATTTTATAAAATAATGAAGGGAGATGAATTAAAAAATCTAAATCCAAACCATCTCCAATAAGAATTTTAAGAGACCTAATGCCAATTCTGATTCACAGAATCTCCAGAAACAATCATGCCAGGACTCCACAAGTGGAAAATTAAGTTAAATCAAAGCTAGAAATAAAGGCAAGTAATACACAACTTTGTGTGGCAAACAGAAACATGTGGCTATGTCACATTATTAAATGTTAGAAATCTAAATCCAATAAGATAGCACAGATGTCTATTAAAGACTCCAGAAGTCAATGTTAGTTACTCAGAAAGAGGTGATTGTGGGGAGCAACTCGGACTAGACTAAGTTACTGGAATTAAGACTTATTCTATGCATCTGCTCTCCCACAATATGGCGCTGGGAGAGAAGAAAACAGCTTCTACACAGCTGCCTCCAGTTCAGCCAATAAACTGTAGGACTTGCTCCTGATTGGAGGAGAGCAGCGTACTCGGCATGTGGGCAGCCGAGTTAGGATTGGCGGAGGAGGACTATAAAGGAGGAGAGAGACGGCATGCACCAGGAACATCTAAGGGGAACATCTAAGGGGAACACCTGTGCAGCCCCCGAGAGAGCCGGCCGGCGGTGTGCCGCTCCCCTGTGGAAGTGGGGAAAGTGGCCAGGGGGAACCGCCCTTCCACTCTGCCTGTCAAAAAAAAAAAATTAGGCTTATTAAAATGCATATTAGGTTAAAGTATAATTACAAAAAATTGACAGTTTTACAATGCATAGCTTTCCTATCTAGGATCCACTTTTGTATCTCAGTGAGGATTTGTTCTTCACTTCAAGTAGTTTCTGCTCATTTAAGTTATTCCCACGTATTTAATATTTTTTATTGATGTTGTGAATTTCTTTGCCTTTTTATAAAACATAAGAAAAATAACTTTTCCCTTAACCATTCCTATTTTTACTGAAATAAAAAAATGTACAAACATCCATCAAATCGCTATTGTTTTGCTGTCAGGGAAAGTGAACCACAGACAGATCTCATAATAGAACTGTAAGATTTTCAGTGGTTTGGTTTAGAGCATCAAAATATTTCTACTTGTTGTAACAATGAACACTGAACCCAATCCTAAGAAATTCTTGGCATATGTACTCATGTCACCCACACAGGTACACACACTTTGATTATTATTACAACAGATTTTTTAATCTCAAAGAAGAAAATAATTTATACTAAATGTTTTCAGGATGAAATAGGTACAAATGCTCCTAAGAGACCCAAGCTCACGTGGCTTAATTACTTAGCTACCATTCTTTTGCCAATGTATTTACCTGTGCTAAATGCAACGGTGAGTATCACTATGAAATCCATCTTAAACTCACTGCACTTTGTGTAACATGGTGAATAAAATGCTATTTTTAGACAAAACTGGAAAAGGCAAACTTCTATTATTTGCTTTTTTCAGGTTACACCATTTCCCTGACACCACGACGGGTGGGGACGGGGGACAGACTCACTTCCAGGTAGGGAACAGCTATCATTTTCATAAAGTATTCATATTTTTCGATTGGAAACGTAGAAAGGTCTCTTGAAGGTTAACGCATGACAGCTGAAGGTGCTCATTGGAAGAAAGTAGGTGAAAGAGTAATTTGAAAAATAGCATGAGATTTTTAGGCAGGTTTCATATCTTGACAAAAATGATGACAAAACACAATGGGTTCTTGATAACCCATCTCAGTGTCTGAAACCCTCAGCAAACAGAGCATAACTCATCACACCTGCCCCAAACCACTCCGGCTTCAGAATAGCCCATTTCTTCTTATCGTGCTCTCTGTCGGGAGTTGTGAAGTGTCTACCTTATTTTAACAGCCCATACGTGACAAGTCACTCCCCCCAGTCTTGCTTCAATATAACCAACAATGTTTTTTCACCTTGTAGATTAACCACGGGTGTCTGAAGTGAACAAGTAAATCCGCTAGAGGCAGGAGCAAGGCAAAGGGAGTTTCAGCTCTTCATGAATTTTTAAGGTTGACACCAAAACCGCATCATAACTGGCTTTAAAAATAAAACTGTATCACAACTATGATTAAATAACTATTGCAGGACGGCAACTTGGCCTACAGTTAATGCAGATTGAGACACCCACATCTGGAGTCAGAATCTGAGTTAGTATCCTAGCTTAGTTCTCGATTCAACTTCCTACTAGTGCACCCCAGGAGGCAGTGGTAACAGAAATAGCTGGGTCCTTGCCATCCACCTGGGCATCCTAGACTGACTTCCTTGCTGTTGGGTATGGCCTGGCCATTTGGGTTGTGAACTTTTGGGTGGATTATCTGTTTTTCTCTCTGGGTCTGAAATAAAATTTTAAAATAGGCTTAAATGTATCCAGTGGAATGCAAATAACACGATAATTTAGATGCCCATATTACCTATTTTAAAAAAGGAATTCTTTAACAGCTATATCTTTCAATTTATTTATTTACTCTTGCACAGTTCCTCAGAGAGACTAAAATAGGGAAGAGTCATGCCTTTCATACACACAGAGAGAGATATAAAAATGTAGTTATTTGTTCATTTGAGAGGCAGAGTTACAGACGGAGAGAGAGAGAAAGGTCTTCCACCTGCTGTTCACTTCCCTAATGGCCACAACAGTGGGAACTGGATGGCTGATCTGAAGTTAGGAGCTTGGAGCTCCCTCCCACTTTCACACATGTGTGCAGGGGCCCAAGCACTTCGGCTATCCTCCACTGCTTTCCCAGGCCATTAGTGGGGAGCTGGATTGGAACTGGAGCAGCTGGGACTAGAAACAGCATCCATATGGGATGCTGGTGCCACATGTAGAGGCTTAATCTACTACACCAATCACCAGCCCCAGAGTCATGCCTTTCTTTAGTCAAGACGTCATCAAAGGGGTCAGAAAAGGACGTTCCACAGTGCCTGACCAAAGGCATATTCTCGGGCAGCTCCATCTCAGAAAATAAACACACTATGCAAGCACATACCCCAGTTTGAAGACCACAGTAACAAATTTGCTACATCACTAGTTCTTGTTATTAGGAAGAATAATTTGGATTCTTTTCAAACTCTGATCTTTTCTTCCTGAGATACAAAAATCTTTTATGAGAATCTTGTGAGGTGGATTTTATTACTGATCTTACAGATAAGAGTAAGATCTAAATGTTAAACTTGTCTACATACATATGATAAATTAAAGAGCAAGTACTTGAACTCAAGTCAACTGCCTCAAAAGCACATTAATTACACATGGCTCTCATTTCTAAGTGTACTGTTTTGGGTTTTCCTTCTGCCATTCCTCCAAAGCAATCCTTATCATGTCATAAGATGATCCCGTACAACAGTGCTGTCTCACATGCATCAGAACCCGCCAGCGCTCACAGTGGGGGTGTGATGACCAGTACTGCCGACAGTGCAGGCTCCAAGGTCATGCAAACAAAGCTTACAGCAGTGCCGCTGGGATTCCAATCTAGCACCATTGGATTTCAGAGAGCTCTGAACTACGGTGAAGGGCTCCCACAAAAGCAGATGCAACGAGAGAAGGGGCCTGATGTGATAGGAAGTCACAAACTCTACCTTAGAGGTGACTGGGCAACGGGAATGAGCAAAGATTGTGGTGTGATGAGGAGGGGCGTAACCTAAGGGTGCTGAGGACAGCAGCATACCCAGGCCTCTGCCAAGGCAGCGGTGCTCAGCGCTGCCCCTGTGTTGGGCAGCAGACCAGGCGGCCAAGCCTCTGCTGGTTTAGAGATGCTGGGAAGCAGGGCTTTTGGATGAACTCTTGCAGGCAGACATGCATGCATGTGCATGCGCGCACACACACACACACACACAGCGAGTGCAAGGTGAACATATTTCAAGGGTCACACCATCACCACCTCTGGGGGACCGAGAGAGGGTGGACAGACCACTCCTGACACTGAACTGGCTGTCCCTTCAGACAGCAACACTTCCTCAGTTCATTTAAGTAACAGCACAGCGTTGCTGATATCTGCAGACTGCGCGTGCTCCGCCAGCCCCCCGTCCCACTCAGCACTGCAGCACCCAACAGATAATCCCTACAAAGCAGAAAGACTCAGGCTGTAGGCGTGCTGAGGCTCCACGGGCAATGCCGCTGCTGCTTCTTGGGACTTCACACTGCCGATGACCCCTAGCCCTGACCAATCCCAGCCTTGTGCTCTGTCCCCACCCCATGCTCACTTCTCCTCACCATGTTCATACCTGCAATGCCACGGCACAGCATCGGGCACACAGCACGGTTTTGTACATCCTTGGCGTTCTGTACTGACCACACAGGCTCTGCCCATGCCCATTCTCACAGGGTTCCACACTTCCCCACCCCAACTGGAAACCAAAGTTTTGTTGACTACTCAGACCTCCAAAAGCTACCAAACTAAAGAGCTCTGAATATATATTTATGCTAGATAGGGGTAACACTTGTGGGTGGGGGCTCCTGCCACAAGAACATAAATGGATCACGTTACACTGAAGAAGCACGCCTCTGTGAGAACAGTTATTTTGTTTAGGAGTGTCACTAATGGACTTATTTTAACAAATCTAATGATTGACTTCCTAGGTGTAAACACAATTCATATCAGAAGAGTAAATCACATTCCAATTATATGCTCAAATCTGGTCCTTTAATCCTCAATGCATTAGAAATGCAACCACATATTTTCTCCCTTTGTGTGATCATGGCCAATCAGGCAAATATTCTGAACACAGCACTCTGAAATGCAATCTTATTTTCAAGCCATCAATTACTTGTATTCGTTGCTGTAGGTGGTGAGCTCACTGTCATTGTGCATCCACTTGAATTCCAAAGGCCAGCTCCCTTCTGCAAGGCAAGTGAGAACGAGGCGATTTCCTTCCAGGTGAATCTGGGGTAGACCTGGCTCCGTTTTAAAATATGGTGCAACATCATCTGCAATATTCCAAGAAGGGGGAGGAGAGAAAAACACTGGATTAAACAAACATGAAAATGACATCCATCAAACTAAGAAATCAACTATTTAAAGAGACTTAATTTTTAAAAGCAGAAATGATGACTATTTGACCCAGTCAGACAGTAAATACCCTTAGTCCACGAGAAACATGCCCAGAAAATATTTCATAAAGCCAGAAGCTCAATGATACCTGGCAACATGGGACAGGTTTACCCAAGTTACTTCTGTTACAATTAACACCAGCTTTTCAAGGGGACAACCCCGGCAATCCCTGTTTATCTAAGCTTTGGTTTTAATCAGGCAATCTATTTTTAAAGTAACAATCGAGGGTATATGCACAAGCTATCAGAGAGAAATTTCCACAAATAACCTTCAATTGGTTTTAAAAATAGGGACTAGGATAAGCAAGATTAACATATATATATATACACACACACACACACACACACACACACACACACACATAGATGAGAATCTAATTTTCATCTCAAGCACTCACACACCGTTGTCTCTTTTTGTGAATTTTAATGGAATATAAAGCTGGAAATCTGGTGTCTTCACACAATATTACAAAATAACAAGAATGAGCCAACTACTATACACACAGTAAAATGTGAATCCCACAGACTGATGCTGAGTAACAGAATCAGATGGAGAAAAAGGCTAAAAAACATGTTTCCATTCAAAAATGCAAAACTAATCCATGGTCTAAGTGTCAAGATAAGGGTAACCTTGGAAGAGGAGATGGTGATCGGAGCATACCGAGGCAGGCTGAGATCTACTGCTTCACATCCTTACACAGATGAATTTCCTTGGTAAGAATTCGCAGAATTCTGGGCATGATCTTTTGTACGGAGAAACCTTTTTAAAAATGTGTGTGCAGCACACTGGGCTTTTAGCTACCATTCTATCACTAATTAGCATGACCCTCATCAGGACACCAGTGTTCTCTTTCCACATCAGCAGATAAGCAGAATTAAGTGATTCCTCACCTTTTTTTTAACCACAAGACCCATAGGCATAATTTGCTTCCTGTCTGCCTTCCAGGCAGGCTACCCTTTCTGTTTATGAATAACACTACAGGCACACCTGGTTGCTTCCACGTGTCATCCTGGGCCAAGCCATTCCCTGTGCATCTGATGCTTCACCTGGAATGTTATGTACATGCCTCAGCTTAACGAAAGCTCCTCCCCACCAATTCTTCCTAAAAAATTATGTCAGAGCTGGTGCTGTGGCATAGCAGGAAAAGCCGCCACCTACACTGCCGGCATCCCTATGGGCGCTGGTTCAGGTCCAGGCTGCTCTACTTCCGATCCAGCTCTCTGCTGTGGCCTGGGAAAGCAGTAGAAGATGGCCCAAGTGCTTGGGCCCCTGCACCCATATGGGAAGACCTGGAGGAAGCTCCTGTCTCCTGGCTTCAGATAGGTGCAGCTCCGGCCATTGCAGCCAGTTGGGGAGTGAACCAGTAGATAGAAGACCCCCTCCCTCCCTCCCTCTCTCTCTCTGCCTCTCCTTCCCTCTGTGTAACTCTGCCTTTCAAATAAGTAAATAAATCTTTAAAGGAAAAATATGTCTATTAATATTTATTAAATTTTGAAAATAAAGTATGTATGGATTATATCCTAGTATATGCCCTATAAATTTTTTTCTGAATTCAAGCACTAGAACAACTCCAGGAACAAAGTAAATATTAAAAATTTGTTGAAAGGAGTGAATGTTAGAGCAGTAACATAAGTAACAGCAACAGCTGGTATTTACTGAATACTTGCTATGCACTAGAAACTGTTCTAAGTACTTTATATGTATTAACTTATTTTGATTATCACAAAATACACATCATTATTATATACAAAAATGGGTGAAAAACAGCACAGATTAAGTAACTTGCCCATGCATGGCTACCCACCATTATTTAAAACCAGATAATCTGGCTCCAAAATTCACTAACTCTATACATAATGATTCTGAATGTCACAGATTTCTGAATAAAGTAGTTTTCTTCGGAAACTAACTTCAAGTTTTTGTAACTTATTTTTGGAGTTACAAATTTCTGTTTCAAATTACTGTATCTGTGGGGCCGCCGTGTGGTGCAGCAGGTAAAGGGTGCCGCCTGCAGTGTCGGCATCTCATATGGGCACCGGTTCGAGTCCTGGCTACTCCACTTCTGATCCAGCTCTCTGCTATGGACTGTGAAGAAGATAGCCCAAGTCCTTGGGCTCCTGCACCCATGTGGGAGACCCAGAAGAAGCTTCTGGCTCCTGGCTTCAGATCTGCACAGCTTTGGCCATCGCAGCCAATTTGGGAGTCAAACAGCAATGGAAGTCCTAACTCTTTCAAATAATATAAATAAAAATCTTTTTAAAAAGTTACTAAATCTGTAACATGTTAAACATCAAATAGTGTGACAATTATGTTAAAACTGATACTCTGTCTGCATACTAAACTGCTGTACACACTCATGCACCAAAAGGCAGAGCTCACAGTCTGTCTTTCTGGGTTCCATATCCACTGATTCTACTAACAATGTATTGAAAATATCAGGGGAAAATACTGCACCTGTAATTAAAATATACAGACTTTTTTCTTACCATTCCCCTACACAATGCAGTTTAACACATGGTTACAGAGCCATATGTAGTATGAGGTATAAGTAATCTAGAGATGATTTGAAGTGCATGGAAGAAGTGTGCAGGTTACATGCAAATAACAGGCCATTTTATGAAGGATCTGAGCATCCATGGATTTGGGAACCCATGCAGAGTGCTAGGGGTAGGGCAGACCTGGAATCAATCTCCTATGGACACCAAGAGATTATTGTATAGCATTTAACCTGAATGTTGATCATTGTGTGCCATCAAAGTGGCTATTCTGGTCTACAGTATCACTGACCATTTACTAATACTCATTCATTCATTCAGAATTAGAGAACTTTTCTTCTGCCAAGGGCCATCAGGAGATATTTGTATGTATGTGTGTGCGTGTATATGGCATCATTCACGGGCCATACAAAATTATCAACCTTTTAAATTATCCTGCTATAGATTTACTGAATTTTGAGTACCATCTGTGGTTGCTGTGGCAAGGCCAGACCAAATAATTTTGCGACTTTTCCCATTCCTGAAACAAATACATGGTAAAGTCCTTATGTGACTGTTCCAAGGACCTGAAGTAGGGAGAGTTAACTTAGTCAATGAGATAGACTGCAGGTGCCAAGAGCTAAAGGATCAGGATCAGCAGGAGTCAAATATCCCCACAACAGCATGTGAAAAGGACAAGCGGTGGGAGCCAAGATGGTGGGCAGCCTTGGGAAGTGCAGAAGACTGAGAAGCCTGGCTGCAGGTGCTGAGAGGGAAAGGAAGCAGGGTGCACAGCGCCCTGCGGCAGGACAAGCACACAACACGCACCATCCCCGCCTGACTGCCAGCGGTGCCTACTTCACAGTCAGTCATAAATTGCCCACTATGAATGACAAATTACACAGTCAATATTATGGTGGTGATAACTGGCTATTATGAAAGAACAGTAGAAAGCCTTCAAAGGGACTGTGTTGCTAAAGTAGGAAAGGAATTAAAGAGGAACCAGCATAGTGAGAGGCCAGTTTGGAAGCAAAACAGGTAAAGTGTTTTAAAAGGTGATACACAGTAGGCTGTGTGAATGGAATAGTAGGAATTGTTGGATGGCTTTAAAACATCGTTTAGGGACTGGTGTTATGGTGCAGTGGGTTAAACCACTGCTTGCAGTGCTGGCATCCACTTTGAGCGTGGGTTTGAGTCCCAGCTGCTCCACTTCCAGTCTAGCTCTCTGCTAATGTGCCTGGGAAAGCACTGGAAGATGGCTCAAGTACTTGGGTTCCTGCACTCATGTGGGAGACCCACATGCAGCTCCTGGTTCCTGCCTTTGGCCTGGCCAAACTGTTGCAGACATTTAAGGGAGTCATACAGTGGATGGAAACTCTGTCTCTCCTTCTCTCTTTTTTTCTCTGTAACTCTGCCTTTCAAATAAGTAAATCTTTTAAAATAAAATATAAATAACCATTATTTAGGAGGTGAAAAACACACAGTGGTGGCTTTCTAATAGGGAAGAAGAAGTTTCAAGAAGGATTCTTAGGAGTCTAACTCAATTTTCTGGTCAATAAGCATGCATTTATGCTATGTGCTGTAATCGGCACCGAGAGTACAAAGAGAACAAGACACAGTCACTGCCCCTGAGGTTATGGTCTAGATTTGAGGCAGAAATAAACACAGAGTAAAGTGTTAGGTGGTGTGAGGAAACAAGTATCTCAAAGTCAGGAGAAATCAATCCTGGTCTTCTTTCAAGAGCTCAGCCTGTTCTCCCAAACACGATGTGCTCTGGGCTCTATTTCCAGTGCATGCTTCATTTTTTATTGTCAACCATGTGTCCAATTTCCCTTTCTGCCATGTACTTCAGCTAAAATCATCTACTCTTGTGACCCAAACAGTGCAATAAAGCTGAATTGCAATAGATATAGCTTTGATACCTGAGGATTTACTGAGCTGCAGGCTTTATTAATGTCCTACCATTTGCACTCTATTTAACAATAGAAAAAGAAATGCCACTTCATATGGTTCCAGTGTCCTACACAGAAGAGTCATAAAAGATACATCTTTTTGAAAAGGAAAAACTTCAAGACAGAAGCTCAAGAATTTGAATTTGGTTTCACAATAGAGCGAGTCTCATCAATTTAATATATTATATGGTGATTTTAAATTTAAATTATACCAGAATTCAATTTTTCATGAAATTGATATTTAACTGAAGATGCCTATATGGTGTATAAAATATTTTGCTGGGGGCTGTGAAGCAGTAGGCAAAAATATTTAAAAGAGTCTTCTTATATGGTTAGTAAACAAATATCTTGTGATTTAAATGCCTGCAGCCTTACTGTTAGCATCCATGTGGCACTTACTATGAGGAAGAGGAAGGGAAAATATGTAAATGCCTGGGAACTGCAAGCATT